TTGCAATATAGATTTGATAAGTGAAATCATAATAGAATATACATATCTAGAACTGGCACAAAAGAGGATGGCGAGCCCTCCTGTGTTCAGCATGCAGACAGACGTATGTATTAACCTGAGTCTTAAAGAATGAGCTGGGTTTCTCCGGCAGCTGTGGGTGGAGAAGAGTGCTCCGAGCACAGAGAATAGTATGTGAAAATCATGGCATGTTATGGAATGGGAAGAAGTTGAATGTTGCTGGGGCCTGGATTGTTGCAGGAAGACCCAATTTAAAAACAAAACTAAACTAAACAATTATTTATTTAATTTAATTAAGTATTATTATTATTAATTTTTTTGGAGAGATTTTTTTTCCCCTGTATGTCACCTCCACTCACCAGAGGCACAGAGAGACACACAGAGACAGAAAGTGAGAAATCATCCCCGAGGGGGGATGGCCATGCTCCAATCCCTTCTCCTCCATTCTCCTCTTGGGATTTTGGGCACTCATGCACACGTGCCCGGTGTTGAATTTCAAGCTGCTGGATCCGAGACCCGAACCATGGTCAGTCATGTGGGAGTCCAGTGCCCCAACCACCCAGCCACCTGTTGGCTCCTATTATTATTTTTAAGCTTACTGTAGGGCATACGTGCTCACTAGAGAGAGAAAGAGAGAGGGAGAAAGTGAGAAAGCAAGCCTCCAAACCTCGTACTTGAACTGTAGTCAACCGTCATGTAAGTGCTTTGACCACCACACCACCTGCTGGCTCCCATAGTCAGATTTTGAATGAGAGACTGGATGGTACAGTGGTAAAAGGCAACAGTGCGTGAGGCTGACACACGGAGGAAGGTTCCAGGTTCACGTGCAGAGACCTCCCTGAGTCTACCTGGCATGTGCATACCCATGATCCAGGGCTGACAAAGCTAGGGGTGGATTGTGGCAGCAAGACCCTGTTAGCAGGTGCTGCCCTTCGTCTCTTTCACTTGTGGAACAAATAAAATAGAAAAGAATTTTGGGGGGCCAGCAGATGGCGTAATGGTTGTTGCTGGACTCCCATATAGTTGGCTATGGCTCGGGGTCCCATATAGTTGGCTATGGTTCGTGTCCCAGACCTGGTGGCTTAAAACTCACAATGGGTGCATGAATGTGCATGCCCAAAATCCCGAGAGGAGAATGGAGAAGAAGAAATTGCGTGTGCCTATCTCCCTGGGGGTTGGAGTGGGGGTAGATTTCTTGCTTTCTGCCTCTCTGGTGAGTGCATGAGCCCTATAGCAAAAACTCTCTTTCAAAAAAAAAAATAATAATTTTGGATGGACTTTCCTAAGATGATACTACTTTATCTGGAAGGCACTGAGAAACCTTGAAGAGTTTCAGCAGGGTCGTGACATGGTTGGACTGCTTTGCGGGGTGAAACGACTGGGTATCAGGGGCATCATCTCAGAGGCGTATCAATGCTCTGAGGAGAGGCACACGAGGTTCAGGCCTGACGGCTGTGCTGGTAGGATGAAAAGGGTTCCTAGGAGTTCAGTTTCCATTTTGTTGTTGTCGTTGTTGTAGAGCTCTTGTACTTGCTAGAGAGAGTGAGAAAGCTTCCCCAGGGAGGATGGCCTCGCCACAAATCCCTCTGCTCCATTCTCCTCTTGGGATTTTGGGCATGCACGCACACTTGCTCGGGATGTTCTTCAAGCTGATGGGTTGAGACATGAACTGGGCAGCTAGCCATGTGGGATCTAGTGCCCTAACCACCTGGCCCCCAGGACTCCCCCCGCCCCCCGCCCCAAAGTGGAACCAATAGGAGTTGGTGATTGGTCTGGATAGAGATCAGGGCCGTTTCCCGGGTGCCTACCCTGATTAGGGATGCATCTGCATGCGAGGGTGTGGGAAGGCAGGGTTATGAGGTCTGCCTGTTGAGATGCCCGTGAGACACTCAGGGAGAGCTGCTCTGAAGGTAGAGGGTCAAAGGCGAAAGCACAGAGGAGAGGATCATCCTGGAGTCTCTGAAAAGTTCTGAGTGTGTATGTGACCACAGCAGTATTTAGCAAGGTTATTTGGCAAGGTGTACCAGTACCTGTGCCGAGAGAGCCAGGCTGGGGATGGGCAGGAAAACCAACCAGGAGGAGGCTGTGGCAGGAGACCAGGCATGCAGGTGAGCCTGGAGGCTGTGATGACCTAGGGTCACAGTGGACAAGGCTGAGGTGATCTTGTGCTCCTAGGGGTATTTCCTGTTCTGTACAGAGGAGCTCGACCTCACCACCAGGCTCGTTAGGGTTGCAGCGAGGCTGGCGTGCGATGTTGCGCATTGAGGGTCGGTATGTTTGGTGCCTGGTGCATGGTTAGACTGAATCTGGAGCCTGGCGGGATGCAGCATGTAGTGGGAGTTCTGGGAGCTCAAGAAGTGTTGGTTGAGAACAGGGCCTTCGCTAGACACAGAGAAATGGGCACTTGGTTGGGGGACAGAGAGAGGGGATGAGCACTTGATGGAGGGGCAAGAAGATGGAGGGGAGGGGTTGGGAGAGGCTTCGCTGGTGGTATTCAATACCAGAATGCTGTCTGAGCAATTGCTGAGTGGACAGATGGAGATGCAGAACTAGCGCTTGTCAAAGAGGCAGGGCTGAAAATACAGGTTTGGGAGTCCCTGTGCCACGAGAGTGAGCTATCACCAAGGAGGGCCGGGAGAAGCCAGAGAGTGTGGAGGGCAGGGGACCAAGCCCGGAGGGGCCTGTGATGGCAGGTGAGGGGTAGAGGTGAATCAGCAGAAAGCAAAGAGCAGCAGAGGAAGAAAGGTATATGAGTCTCTAGGTGCTGCCTTTCAGAAGCCGGGAGCAAACCAAGCTTCGCTGTTTCACCTTCCTGAGCATAGCATGATGCCTGTTTCTGGCAGGTAGAAATACTTTCTGAAATATCTGCCATGTTGGATTAGCTAGCAATCCGTGCCTCCTCATCTGCACGGATGCTGGTGAGATGATTGTGCTGACGGACCAGGGCCTTTGCACACTGGGGCCAAAGAAATCCCGACACAGCAGTCCTCATAAGAGCCGAAGGGTTTTCCTGAGGGCCTGTTTCATTAGCCAGCTCCCCCCATACATGCAGTGTGATTCTGTTTATTTCAGAAAGTCATTGTGTGCTTGGCTTTTGGAAGATGCAGCTGTCAGGTGAAAGAAGCTTCTTGATGCATGGAAGTATGTTTGGAACACGCAAAAGACGTGTGTATAGTTCAGGAATGAGAGAGGGCTAGAAAGGAGCTGTGCTCTTGGTGAGGCGTGTGTCTCTAGCCCCCAGAGGGACTGCGGGGAGGTGGGGGTGGGTGTTTGCATCCAGCATGGTGCATTAGGTCTCATGGTGTGTTAGGTGCGGGTATTGGTGTTTGCCTTCAGCGTGTGTGTGCATGTGCGTGCACGTGTGTGTGTGTGTGTTTTGTGAGGTGGTATAAGGTATGATAAGTGGAAGTGTTTGTTTCTGGAGTTTAGGCCTCCCTCTTTGAGAGTGAACGAGCAGATAACACAGAATGGGTTGGAGGGAAGAGGATGCAGTGTACGAGTGTCTGGGCACGTGCGCGGGCACCGAACAGCTGTTTGTGTGTATGTGTGTGTATTCTGGGGCCTGTCCGTGTATTTGTGCCTTTCCCCACTGGGCGCGTACGTTTGTAGGATGCGCTGTTTCTTCCTTCTTGACTGTTGCTTCATCCAGAGGTTCCCAGCAGTGAGCATGTCACAAATAATTTGGAGCTGGGGGTGCCTGGTCCACTTACAAGGTAGACCAAAGCCCCGCCTCCCTGGAGGAGTTATGGTTTAGGAGAAGGAATTGTTTTCTTTCTCCCTTCCTTCCATCTTCTCTTCTTTCCACTTGGGGAGCCCCATGCCAGGCTCAGGCAGGCCCCTAATAGTTGGGATGAGCTCGGGATAGGCCCTGACTTTTAACCTCCTCCCATCAGTACAGTGGGCACCCAGCGTTGGGACCCTCTGCCTCACCCAACTGCTAAGAAGGCATTTATTGGGGCCAGCAGGTGGTGTAGTGGTTGAGGCACTGGACTCCCACGTAGTCCACTGTAGTTTGAGTCCTGGACTCGGTGGCTTGACATTCACACCAGGCGCATGTACGTGCATGCCTAAAATCCCAAGAGGAGAATGGAGGAGAAGGAATTGGGGCATGGCTGTCCCCCCAGGGGAGTGATTTCTCACTTTCTCTCCATCTCTATCTCTCTGGTGAGCGCACACTCCCTATAGCAAATATCTCTAAAAAATAAATACATAAACAGAAGGTATTTATCCTAGAACCATAGAACCAGAGCCAGAAGGGGCCTCAGAAATGTCTCATCCACCCCTCTCGTTTTAGCAGAAGGGGGCCCACAGGCTCTGAGAGGTTAAGTGACTGGGCTGGAAATCACAGAGCGCTTTGTGGCAGAACCGTGTTTTCTGACTAAATATTGACACCTTTTCTCCCCTGGTGGGTAGGGGGCAGTGGGGTGGTTGGGTCTTTGTGTGCAAAGGCTTCAGGTGTGAGCTGTGTGAGACATCGAGTCTCTATGTGTGTCAGTGTGTCACTGAGCGTGTGTCTCGGGAGCCCTGTGAGACAGTTGCTGGTGCGGGCGTGTCCCCATCTGTCCCAGAGATGCGGCGGAATGCAGCGGAGGAGCCTGCCTGGGGGAGCCCTGACTGCTGTTCTGGCCCTGCTCCCATTCTCCCCGTGACCTTGAGCTGCCACTGCCCTGCCCTGGGTCTCAGTTTCCTGAAACAACAGGAGGGCTGGGTGTGATGCGTGTCCAGGACACTCCCAGCCCTCTCAGCCCGGCTGGCTGTGTGTGTGACACTGGCTCGGGCCAGCTCTGCTTCTGCCTTGTCTCCAGCTAAGCTGTTCCCTGAGATTTGGACTCTCCAGGTTGGGTTACTTGTGGCAGGGCCTGGGTGGGCTCAGAGACCTTGGAACCCTCTTCCCTGGAGCCCCTATCGTGGTAACCTTGCTAACAGAACCTCCTTTTTCTTCTCTCTCTGCCTTCCCCTTCTCTGAACCTTGCCGGCTACAGAGGAGCGCCCCATGGAAGGTGAGTGAAGCCTCTCGGTCACCGGGGTATGGATCTGTCCTGTGGGGTTCCCTTGTGAGGGCATGCGTGTGGCCACACCAGAGCCCCCTCCCTGCTCATATTTGGGGCCCTCTTGGAAGGAGCCTGGGTCCCCTCCTGGCTGCCTCGGCCCCACCTCTTGCCTGCACTGTCATTATTGGTGTGGTGAGGAGAGCTGCCAGGGAATGATCCCACTCTGCCCTTGTCCGGTTTACTCGTTTCCCTCCACTCTGCCCATTGGCATTTCTTTTTCCTTGGAAGAAAGAGAAGGGACCTCAGGGAAGAGATGGGGAGGAGGCTGGGACTGACAGGGCTCCAACGAGCCCAGGAGCGAGCATGTAGACACCGTTTGCCTAGCCCAGCCAAGGAAGCTGGAAAGGTGGTGCTGCCTGGGGTGTATGGGCCGGGCTGGCCCCCAGTAGCCTGTGCTTGGGCCTAGTGCCTCTGCTGTGGGCTCAGGCGGGCTGCCATGCAGTCGGGAGGCAGAGCGGGGGCCCCTGCCCCACGGACCGGTAGGTAGGGCTGTTCTCCCTCCAGCCCTTTTGGCCCAGTCCAGGACAGGGGTCGGGTGTGTGCCTCTTCCTGGGGTCTCTCTGTCCATCCTCTCCCTGTCCTCTCCCT